TTGTGAGTATAACCATGAATTTTCAGCTATAGAGAAGCGCCAGTTTTCGAGAAAAATCAAATTATTTGTAGAAAACCCGAAAAACGCGACATATTCGCACTTTTGACCTATTTTTATTTCTCGTACTGTAGCCATGGAAAAGTACCACAAACTACACAGGTGAATGTCTAATGTGGAGAGTGAATGCCTGTGCAAATTATGGATCCTTATGACATCTATAAACGGAGATACGATTTTTCGGGTGTTTGAAATTTTTCATATTTTAGATTCTAACTTCAGGCGGAGCACGATTTCCGCGTAGGTTTGTGAACTATCTTGTAGAGCTTGCTTTGCTCTATCAAATGATACCCCATTCGCTATTTTTTATGGTCGTTCTGTTGCGGTAGGATGCCATGCGACATTATTTTCCGGACAACCTAATAAAATATTAGGTTGGTTCAAAAGTAATGGCCGATTTTCCAAACCTTTTTTCAGGGCAACTTTTCTCCATTAAAACTTCTTCTTTACAATGGATGTAGTATAAAATCGCAAAGCTGTTCCCATGCTCTATCTAACGGTATTTGCTTGCTCTCATCCTCATCTGTTATAAAGTTACTGAGCTTCAAATAACGGCATTCAAATCCAGAATTTCATTGCTTTCACTTTTCCGGCCAGAATTCAAGCGCGTATCAATGGAATTTTTTCAAAAATTTAGCTATTGTATGTAATAGAAATTGTCTACATTATGCATACTTGACTGAGTTCTTTAAGGCTATCCAGACTGAGATATCGGCGCTTAAACATGGGTAGCTGTTGCGGTCATTTTATGACCCATAATTTTCTTCTGAAGAAGTCAATCGCCGGAGCTTTGCTCAATTCTGTAAGCGTAGGGCTAGGGCATCCTGTTAGCAGTTCTTGCAAAAACATCCAGCGGTTCAGTACCTAGAAAATCAAAAAAATCTATATTCGGGACTTTGAGGCCCACTGAAAAAATGTTCAAAAAAGTGAGAAATTTCCAATTTCACCTTTTTCCTTTTTCGCAAACTTTTCTGTCCGATTTCTTTTTATTGCGTTTTGTACTACTGGCTTGCGGCTACAAGATAGGCTACTTAACATTTATACTAACAAACTTTAAAGGAATATATGAATTGTCAAAGACAAGGTTTTAGCAGAAGAACCTTTTTTATTTTTCAATCCATATTTTTCTGCCCGTTCTCGATATGAGTATAAATAAATGTGCGCTGCATTGCAGAAGGTTTGCTGCTTCTGATAGTCTTTACCGCATTCGGAAATGTGAATTCTTCCAAAAGTTATAGCACGTCAAAGTGAGAATTTGCAAATCGGCCATTACTTTTGCATTAACCTAATAGTTTAAGGAGTTATAACCTTTTGCGGAAAAGTCACTTTTTTCGTCAACTTGTAACCTTTTAGACTGTCCTAAAGACGCGCTTAAGCCAGTACAGCACAGCATTCAAAAAAAAATACTGGTGCTTTTGGCAGAATTTAGCGACATATAAGGCAAGGAGTGCAGAAATGATTTTCCTGGATTTTTTTTCTTAAAACTCCTCTTGAAGATCCCAAATGCAGGGTTTCTTCAAGAAGGGGTTTTGGTTTGTGCAAACGAAAACCGAATAATCCGAGATCTAATTGGCAATTGTTGAAGATAATGACATAATAGGTTGGACATAAGTTTTGCAATTAATTCTGTAACTTTCTTCTTCCTAAAGATGACGCATTCGCTTTTGAGCATAATGTAGATTAGGCAGTAGGCTACAAACATGCGCAATCAGTTTGACTTTTGGTAGCGAAATGAAAAATTCATGCATTTTTCGAAAGCAGGTCAAGTTCGAAATTTCAAGGGTCGGAAAACCGAAAATAGGGCCGTTCTCACTCTTAGTAAACATAGCAAACTGAAACTGTATCCAGATTGTTTATAAAAAAATCTCTATTAATCTATGAATTTTTGGCTTGATGTGTTTGATTCAGACGGCCCTATCTTTCGTTTTTTGGCCCTTGAAATTTCGAACTTGACCTGCTTTCGAAAGATGCACGAATTTTCTCCACTTCGCTACCAAAATCAAACTGTTTGTGTTTGTAGCGTACTACCTAATCTACATTATGCCGGGAAATGAGTGCGTCACAAACGAAAAGAGAAAAGTTACGGAACTAGTTACAAAACTTATGTGCCAACCTATCAAATAGATCTGCATCACAGTCTGTCAAATTGTATTTAGTGTCTGACACTGAAATATTTACGCGCAATTAATAATGCACCCTGTCTTCTGACAGTCTACACTCAGATCCTTCGTAAAAACTTAGTCGCAAACGGAGCTCAGAGAATTGCCGGGTTAGGCGGCCATGCAATTTAAAGACCGGCGCCGGAAAAATAGTTTGCTGATTTCTTGCTGTCCACTTGCAGATATTTGGGAGAGTATTATGCATTTTCTGGGCGAACGTGTAGGCATTATTCTTAGATTGGTTGCGGCGCAGTGGGTGCATACTCGTGGACTTTTCACGAGAATGTGCAAAAATGTTGGGACCGCAAGGTCCTTTGTGAAGGAGCATAGCCCATAGGTACCTTCTGCTGAGAGGTACTCCCAAACTCGGGTAATCCAACTATCGATGACACCTTTGCTTTGAAGAGTCTTACCTTTGTTGGCCTAAGTTCGAACCTGCGTAAACTCCGAGCGTTTGCTGAAAATTTGACCAGCGCCCTCTAAAAGTGATTATTTGTCGCTTCAAAAAATCTTGTATTGCTGCCCGCTGACAGAACATGCAACAGTAAAGAAAGTTCTGCTCGCTAAAGCTTCGGCCATGCCTCAAAATTCTGCTGACCGCCTGGTGAGAAGTGCGAGTTTGCGGACCGCCTGTCCTTGGCGATTATCTGACTGTATCAAAATCTTCCTTACAGTTTGCAACAGAGCACGGCCGTTACCCTCGAAGCGTGGGAAATCAGGTTTTTGAAGTTAATAATCATCAAATCTAGAACAGATAATCAATCAAAGAGCTGTTTCGAAAACTATCATACCTAGGCATGTTGCATTCACTTTTTATCTTTGAGGAAAAAACGAATCTGTAGTAATGTTAATTGTGAATACACTTTTCCGCTGTTTCGCTGCGAGATTCCTTTGTGCATAACGCCTACTACATTTGCCTTTAGCCTTGAGCTAAATTCTGGAAAGTTCCGCCACATTTATTGCGTGAACATCTTCTTGCCTGCTGATTAGCTTATCGCGGTTATTTTGCAGAGTAGGACTGTGTCCGAAGAAGTATGGAGTATGTGTGCAGTATGATACCCTATGTAGAGGTCTCTCATTAATCAGGGCCCGGCACGAGGTGGGCAAATGACAGGCTGGCATCGTTTTGGGCGAAAAAGCAAATGGGGTGTCGTTCTCGCGGGGTCCGGGGCGGAGCCCCGTAAAAATTTGGTAGTCCATGGTCTCTGCTTATCTCAACATGTTATGTGCCTCAACAGGCAAACAGTGGAGTTCGCATCGTCGCTAATTGTCGCACTCGCGACGTCGTTCAAACGATGCTAATCGTAACAACATGCATGTCTAGTTCTCAATCTATGCGTAACGATATGGCACCAAATTTCTTAAGCGAACAAAAAGAGGCTAGGGGAAACAAAGTGTGAAAAATTATGAAAAACTTATGAATGAAAGGCGTGCCTAACTCTTTTCCAAATTAGGTGGGCAATTGCCCACCTATAATGCCTACCTGAGGTAGGCAAAACTTCCGTTTCACATAAGTTCAAAATTTTACACTAATATGTTCTACACTTGAAGTTTAGTTCTTAATAGCATTTTTTCAAAACACTCCTCCTCTCCTTCGTGTTAGGATTTGGAACATCTACGACGCCGATCCCTTGGAAGGAAAGCGCCCTCCAATCGAACAACCTTGTGCTGGGCCTTAGCAGTGATCCGAGAATACCATCTTTGGATTTTAAATTCAAAAAACTAGGCATGCATTGCTGGCACAAAGAAGATAGCAGCGCGGGTCAGAACATGCTAATGCTGATGAAGAGGCACAATATCAAATTGGGTCGCCACAGAGAAAAATTCACATACTATATTGTATTCTTAGCAATGCTAAATAAAACTTTTTGTCAGAGCTCTACAACTTCTAACAAGGGAGGTCCATTTGGTCGAAGTGGCCTTTTCACATGAAACTGATAAGATAAAGACCATTGAGCGCTGTTTTCAAATCTGTCTTTGTTAGCCGAGCGCTTCTGGTGGTCGAGTTATGAGCGTTTTGAGTTGTAAAATTGAATGCATAATTGGACAAAGGTCAGAATTGCTAAAATAGTCCAATGTTGACTAACAGATCGTTCCATTCAAACAGTATCTTCTGTTCAAAACATTTACTTAACACTGCTCTATTTTAGAGCTGAAAAGATGATAAAATTCAATTTTACTTAGATTATGCGTCCACTTTTCGCACCAAGAAAATGTTCATGAGTCGGCATGTAGGCGCTTGGCAGATTATATTTGGAATCACTGTTTGATGCTCCGAAGTGGCATAAGACTCATTTGGAAAGGTCATTCGACTGATCGGACCCCCCCCCCCCCCCTCCTCTGTAAAAACTTCATGAGTCAGGTAACTTTCGAGAACGCTACATATAGCAAAGTTGAGTCAAAGTTTTCCCCCTGGGTCTGGCCAATGCATCTTTGGCAGTATGTGCTGACATCTTTAGAGAAATCCAAAAAGACTGAGCAAATAACATCTTGTAAGGGACTTACCGTGCCTCTACTCTGCGCTATCACCAAAAGTTTGAAGCGTCTGTCAAGAGCAAGAGGATTAAAGCAAAGTATTCTTATCCCAGAAAACTGAACATACTGCAGTATGACTGCAGCAGTTTCCAAGGCAGTACGGAACATATGAATTATTTCTTACAGTCCTCCAAAGATTCTTCTGTCATGGGCGAGTATATGGATAGTGTTTTGTAAGTTTTTTTTTCATGAAAGGAAGAGTTGGTTGTATTTTCAAGTGATCATATGTAAACAAGAAAAAACTCTCACCTGGTTCTTACTCCTAATGAGCTTCGTGCAGCATTTATTTGCGATTTACCGCAGTTGTATGCATCTTAATTATCGCATATACGGAATTGCTTCCAAAGCTGTAACGTAGAAAAGCTTACCATATGTATCATACTTGTGTCCTCTCGTAATATGGAGGATGATCAAAAAACAAGCGAAGATTCCCATAATGTCACTTTTCAACCCAAAATGATTTGATTGGTCCTATGAAATGATGCAGTGAATACGCAATTTTGATATTTGACTGACCTATATTTCTTAGTTCACTAAGAATGGGGTCAGGAAAACTCAATGCTCAGATCATCCAAAGCATATCATTACATTTTATTTCATTCTTTTTCTCGCATAAAGCCAAACGTTCTTTACACGTGAATGGCACATAAAATTTTACCCCGGTTTTGCTCTTGCTCCAGCGAATAGGTTAACAAGTCTTTATGCGTTTGCACGAAATGAGTTGGTCTCACGCTCAAAATTGTATCTTCTCAAAAGGTGAAACGGCAGAGTGGTAGCATCAAGTAGTGAACATTTCCCACTTCTTCATGTATCTATACAAAAAAATGATAGAGGGGTGTTGCAATATGAGCCTAATGATCCTCTAGTTCACAAAAATTACAAAATACAGGATGTCCCAAAAAATTTGATGTTAACAATTCTTTTGTAATGAAGAGCTTTCACTACCTTCTGTAGAGCTTCAACTTAGATTTACAGTATGGAGCGATTTACCGATCGCTCTTCATTACTGTAGGAGCACGGTAGAAAGTTGTAGCATATGGCGCCACTGTAAAAAAGGCTGTTTCTACGAAATTTCCAAAAAATCAAAAAAAAATTGATCAATAGGTTTGCATGCATGCTGATTTCAGTACACAAATTTTTGCGCTTTCGTAGGGCTTTGTCTAAACAGATTTCTGACGAATAGCAGAAAATGGTTGTTTTGGTATATTTGACATTGAGGTGATACGAAGAATACGTTACGGTGAGGTGGAAGTTTCATGTTTGGAATTAGCGAATCTCATAAACCTAGTGTGGGAGCTTTCAGCTTTTTTGGTCCTACTTCAAAAGTGGACATAACTCTCTTATCTACTCAAAACCCTCCTCAAAGACTCTACCGTAATTTTACACTAATGAAGAGGGATTTTTAATTCGCGCCACACTAGAAATCAAAGTTGAACCAGCTCTACAAATCGGTACCCAAAGCTTCTCGAAAGATTTTACAAAAGAGTTATTTACAATCAAGTAATTGTACACGCATCTTCTTGGGACACCCTCTATTATCCTATCCAGAAACCAGTAAAATTATCGCTTATTGGCACTTTCAATTTTTCAAGTTTTTGAAGTGTTTCCTGTCCAAGTTATCGGACGTTTGATACGAGAACCGGTTTGCAGGGAACTGAATTGCTGCAATATTGCAAGAAAGATATCTGCTGTATTAGGTATGAGTGCCCAAATGATATTCCCGCATACCAATGGCTGTCATAGGATTTCGGGCGCGACAAATTTTCTATTGAAGGTGCGTGGCGTTAGCTATGCATTCCGCTTTTTGGGATGCTTCCCGAAATGTTTGCTGGTCCATACTCCCGAAACAGCCATGCCCCGGAAATATTTTACAAAGCTGATTTGAACTTTGAAAAGTCAAAAATTACTTTAGTTATTGTTGTGGAACGCGTTGAGCCGTTGACGATTTATTAGAAAAACACAAAGATTCCCCTTATACACATAGGCGTATATGCCGCGGGTTCACTAGGATCAATGCAATAACAACACGTAAACATAATCAAGGTGCGGCGGGTACGCCGCAGCCGCCTAGGTCACCTCAGCCTTAGCTATCAATAATGAGCGAGTTCTATTGACACTGAACAGCTCTACAACACCTCCCTCCTAAGATGAACAACGGTACATCTTAAAATGAGGATCTACTTGAAGTCGTTCTGGTGGTCGACGATGTCGGCTTGATCTAATTGGAATCAGTGACGTGGTTGAAGTTGCTTGGTGTTCAGCGATGTTCATGCCATTGTCCATTTGGCCTTCTTCAAGACGTGTGGTAGAGGCTGGATCACGACGGCGCTCCATTCTTCCACTGCGCATCTGATTCGCATGTCGTCTCCATAGCTGGTTGTCTTCCGTAAGCACATCGTACACGGCTTCGCCGCAGCGTTTCTTCACACGAGCTGGAATCCATTTTTCGCATCCCGAGCGAAAATCGCGTACCCACACGGCTTCTTGTGGCTGGTACTCTCTCTTTCGTGCTCCATGGTGGCGGTTGAACTGCTTCTCCATGTTTTCGTTGCCCATTCCTTCTTCTTTGGAGTCTTCATTCAGCAGCGACAGCGGTGTCCTTATCTGACGTCCCAGGAGCAGCTCGGCAGGCGAACGTTGTCCTGGAGCAGTTGTACAAGGTGTTCGTCGATAAGACTGTAGAAACTCCGCAATCTTCTCTGCCGTTCCTCCCTCCTTAATTTTCTGGAAGGTCCTTTTGAAGATATCCACAAACCTCTCCGCTTGTCCATTTGATTGCGGATGGAACGGTGGTGAACGCATATGCTTGATTCCTCGCTCTTCACAGAAATCTTGGAACTCCTTCGCTGTGAACTGCGTCCCATTGTCCGACACGATCACTTGCGGATTTCCAAATCGAGCGAATAGAGACCTGAGTTCTCTTAGGGTAGCTGTAGTTGACGATGAAGGCATCTCAAATACTTCTGGCCATTTCGAGTAAGCGTCAACTACGACGAGATACATCTTGCCATTCAGCGGCCCTGCATAGTCAATGTGAAGTCGATTCCATGGTTTATCTTCCACTTTCCATGAATGCAGCAACGTCTTCACTGGCATTTTGGAGGCTTCTTGACAATCCCTACAGCGGCGCACTGAGTCTTCAATTTCTCTGTTGATGCCCATCCAATATGCGAATCCTCTCGCGAGCATCTTCATCCTTGTCATTCCAGGGTGTCCCTCGTGTAACTGCTTCAGAACCGCCTGTCTCAGCGAAGCTGGAATGACTATTCTGTGGGCGAAGTACAAGCATCCCTTTTGCACTGATAAATTCTCCCTCAGTGCTCTCCAATTTCGGACTTCTTCTTTCGGCTTGGACGGCCATGCTCCTGATTGCAGCATTCGTATGACCTGCGCAATGGTTTCGTCCTTACGAGATTCCTCTTCAATCTTCTTCCGGGTTACTGGTAACGCTCGTACAGCAGCGGCTTGAACAGCTCGCACCTCTTCTTCTATCTTCGCTATGACGACGTCTTCGGTTTGGAATGGCCTCGGAGGGATCAGTCAAGACAGTGCATCGGCTTGTCCAAATTCGGTTGTCTTGCGGTGCTCCAGGTCGAAGTCGTATGCGAGTAGAATGAGTTTCCATCGTTGCAACCTGTTCGCTGTGTACACTGGCACCATCTTCTTCGGTCCAAAGATGTGTAGCAGCGGCTTGTGATCGGTGAGCAATCTGAATCGGCGTCCGTATATGTACCGATGGAACTTACGGACTGCGAAAACCAATGCTAGTCCTTCCTTTTCAATTTGTCCGTAGTTCTTTTCGGCGGCTGTGAGGCTTCGGCTTGCATGGCAGATAGCCTTTTCTGTCCCATCTGGCATCTTGTGCAGAATAACAGCCCCGATTCCGTAGTCTGACGCGTCCGCAGCTACCACTATCTGTAAGTCAGGATCGAAATGTGTGAGGAGTAAATCGGAGGCTAAGACTTCTTTGGCACGCTTGAATGCGTTTTGGCATTCCTCCGTCCATTCGAACTTTGCGTCCTTCTTGAGCAATGCGTCCAAGGGTGCTCTAAGCTGGCGCATCTCGGTTACGAACAATCCATAGTAGTTGATCATCCCGAGGAATGATCGAACATCCGCTATGTTCTTCGGCGCTGGCATTTGCTGAATAACTTCAATCTTCTTTGGATCCGGCCGGCGTCCATTTTTGTCAATGATGCAACCTAAGTAACAAATCTCTGGCATGAGGAAGTTGCATTTTTCCAACCTGACGTGAAATCCGTAATCCTTGATTCTCTTAAACAAGGCTTCCAGATTCTGGCGATGTTCTTCATAACTCCTCCCCGTGATGATGATGTCATCAAGATAAGCGGCTACTCCATCAAGTCCGCTTATCATGGAATCCATGATCTGTTGAAATATGCCTGGTGCCGATTTCACTCCGAATGACAATCGATTATAGCGATATAATCCTTTGCGTGTATTGATAGTGAGCATTTCCCTTGATGCTTCCTCGACTTCCACTTGTAAATAGGCTTCGGCTAGGTCGAGTTGAGTGAAAAGCTGGCCTCCATTGAGCTTTGTAAACACATCCTCCGCAGTGGGCAACGGATGCTGATGCAGCTGCAATGCATCGTTAAGTCCTGTCGAGAAGTCGGCGCATAGACGAATCTTGCCATTTTTCTTCTTGACGGCGACTATCGGCGCGGCCCACTCTGAGTGTTCTACAGCAGAAATAACTCCTTCGGCAACCAGCCGATCAATTTCTGCCTCCAGTTCTGGTGCCGTGGCGTATGGAACTGGCCTCTTCTTCTTGAAGACTGGCACAGCATCGCTCTTTAAGACTAGCTTGGCCTTGCTCTTCGTGCACTTTCCCAAGTCGCTATTGAAGACTTCTGCATATTTCCTCTTCAAATCGGCGACGACTTTGGCTCGAAGTTTCTCCTCGCTAGTCACCTTTCTGCAGTTGTAGTTGTCCTTCAGCTTCTTGTACGCCGGCAATTGGATACACCATTCCAATCCTAATAGATTCGAACCTTCGGTGACGTAGCAAACTCCGTTTCCATGAACGGTTTTCCCTGTAACTCGATCTTTGACCTCAAAATCGGTCGAAAATTTACCGTCGATCTGCATCGGCGTCCCGTCGGCAGTTTTCACGGGCAACACACAGGGTTCCAGAGCAGGGGATCCCATCCTCTTCCAGGCTCTTCGCGAAATCAGGGTTATATCCGCACCTGTGTCTAGCTGTAGCTTGAGGGAACATCCTCTGATTACGACGTCGATATAAGTCCGCGCCTTCTCGGCGTCGAAAACGACCACATTTTTGCACTGTCGCCTGCGGCTCACATGGGTTCCCGTCTTCCGCCGCTTCTTTCGACTGTTGTCAGATTGTGGACAGTCTCTTCTGAAATGTGGTCCTCCGCATATGAAGCAATTTACCTTTTTCTTCCATACAGCATGGACGTCGCGAGTGCCTTCCATGTCCGTGTTATCCACTTTCAAAGCAGTGAAATTTTCGCAATCCGTGACTAGGT